ATATTATTACGTCAAAGTTGGCGCGTTCTTTGGATATCAATATTGGTTTTATTTAACAAGTTCATTTATTCACATGTTTTTCGAGTAATATATTATAAATGGAGACACCTAAGAGTGCTAGGAAGCCAAAACCTGCTCGTAATCCAACACCACGACTATCTGAACGTAAGAAGAGTTTATTTGTAGATAGATATTCCACACTTGCGGGAAATGATGTGATGGAGGGAATCGAATTACTTGATCCATCAGATAGTAACATGGAAAATAAGTCTGTCATGACAAGGAGTATGCGTAGCATTGAACCTTCATTGCAATCGAATTGTTCAACCTCCATAAGTTTTCTCAGCGATGTGTCAATTGGAGTAAAAAGCTCTGAATACACGTCACCTTTACGAAGAAGTCCTCGCAACAATGTGAATAAGCAATCGGAGGGCACTCTTTTAAAACCTGTGGGTGGCAAGGAAAATACTCTGAAATATGCTGATTTAGAGAGTGCTGACGACCAGCTTCAAAACATGTTCAACAAATCGATGAGGATAACTTCGCGTCATTACGAAAATGCCAAAGCTGAGACACAAAAAAGAAACATTGAGCAAGTAAAAGAAAGTACGGGAATGAGTCCTAGAAGGAAAACTGCAAAATTTTCTATGAATGATAAGGAACTTTCTTCAATTTCAACTAAAAAGTTTTACTCTGCATCTCGACCAGGAAACTCACACTCTGAAGTACAAAAGCAAAGCTCTGTACTTTCTAAAAACACTAGCTCTCCTCCAACGATGATTAAAAATATTTCACCCCGAAGTCGTGGGCGTTTTGAACGTCGCAGTTCTGGGACAGTAAATATTAACAAAGGTGTAAAACACAAAATCCGACGACCCGCGCGCCCGAATATTTCAGGAGGAATCTATCGCAAGAAGCTGTCTTCTATAGAAATAGATCGAATTTTAGAGAATTTGCATAATGACAATTTAAAGAATCGCATTGCTTTAAACCGAGAAGAACGTCAAAATATAGAAAAGATACATAACATTTTTCGTTCTTGTAAAAATCCCATTGAAATGGCTCGACCGCTCACTGTTATATCTGGGATGGATGACACTAACAATAACTTGACGGATTATGTTTTGTCTCCGAGTAAAAAAAATAAAGAATTTAAAATTGATGAAATTGATGCCGATTTCTCCGACATAGATAGTATTTTCGATGAATATGAGGACCTGCCGAACGAAGAGGAAATCATTCCTCTCATTTCTCATCAGCCCGCCAGCATAGAAGCTGCATTAGGTGAAAGTGAAACTGAAGCAAGGACCACAACTCTGACAAAACGAAAGTTTTTCAAATCTGGTCGTTCTAACCATACACCAAAAGAAATTCATATAACCGATAATATCAAAGCTTCTATTTGCAATGGCAAATTATCTCTGATACCAGAAGAGAAAAAGACGAAAAAGAAACCAAAGCGACGCCCATCAAGTAAGTGCAATTACATTATACATAATTACATATTATATACTGAAAAAATTTATAATTTCAGCAACGTATGATATCACGGATGAACAAGCTACCGTTGAAGCGATTTTGAAAAATTTGAACGACACTGCCTATAATGATGTAGGTATTGATAAAGATATGAAAAGTATATCTAATTCTGAACAAAAACAAAACCATACAGCAGAGTCGGGTGTCATTCAGCTTGACTCTGATAGAGATTATTCAAATTTCCGTAAAAGGTTGCCGTATAACACAAATGATCCCTCAGTTGTGGAGCAACAGCATTTATTACTTGATTTCCTTATAAATAATAACATGTGCACAGAAGAAAATTTCACAATATTCATAGCAGATCCAGATAATCACAAAGAGGAAGCTGCACGAATTGTTGATCAAGTGTTTGTATTAGTCAATGAGCAGGATTACTATCGGCAGCGTATACCATATAACACGAGTGACTCAGAAATCGAAATGCAGCAACATCGAATGCTTGACTTCCTTATTGAGAACAATATGTGTACGGAAGAAAATTTTGACATTTTTATCGCGAATTATAACCTCAGACATAAAGAGGCAGATGAGATAATGGCTACTATTCGCAATCAAGGTAATGGAATATCATCCAGAAGTGATTTGAAAATTGTTTTATGTGATGACACGCAACCCAAGAAAATGATCACTGAAAATAACAATGACTCCAAAAATACGACAAGCAATATTGAAATTTCACAGGCGACCGCGAAAGTTATAGAACCTTCCAGTGGTGGAACCCTTTTGCCTTTACCAACTACTCATTCTGGGGACGACACTGGAGCAGCAAATTACCCTATATTTAATAAGCAACGGTGGAAACCAATACAGCAGCAATCTACGCGGAACTTTGCGCGATTGTGGAATTTAGGTCAGGGTACCGATCAATACCAAATCGATGCAGGTCAAACCGAATTTGGTGCTCATCAGTGTAAACAGTGTGGACTTGTTTACAGCATACACGAGCCAGAAGAAGAAAAACTACACAACGACTATCATGCGTCCTTGAACTTGTTGCGTTTTAAGGGGTGGATCGATGAAGATATTGTAGCTATTTATCCAGAATGGGGTGCAGATGGCCGTATATTACGTATCACAGAGACCTCGCATAGTCGACGACATGAACGCCTTGCTGATATCTTGAAGATTGTCGACAAGGAACTTGGATATTCATCTTATGTTATTCCACAAATTTTTGTTGTATGCTTCATATTTCTAACGGAAATGAATTTACCTAAAACATTTTATTCTTTATTTTCATAGGCATATTTGGCGGTACGAAAGTTTCAAATTGTAGGCGTATGTTTAGTCGTGCCACTCGAGAAAGCAAATAAATTTCTTAAAGTAAATGGAATGGATTGTTGCACCGAAGAAGTGTACCCAGCAAAGTAACTAAATTGCTTGGTATTAAAAAAGCGTTTGAACAAGCAAAATAATAATGTTTTATGATTGCAGATGTGGCATATCCCGAATTTGGGTGTCCCCTCTACATAGACGCCTGCATATAGCATCAAAACTAATTCATGCGGTGCAGCAGAACACGATATTTGGAGAAGAGATACCTCTTGAAAGAATAGCGTTCAGTTCCCCAACCGAAAATGGACGGCTATTTGCTCAGAATGCAACACAAATGGAAAATTTCTTGGTATACCAGTGAGACAAGTTATCAAGATCGATATTAATTTTTGTATAATATAATTGTGCAGCCCTTATATCACATTCTCATGATTGAATAATTGAATCATGTATCCTGCATAGCCATGGTACATTAATTACAGGTATTGTCTTCCCAGAGAGTTTTGCTTCACATCGAAATTCGTGCTCCCTTATTTTCATTTTGACTCAGTTCAATGTTGATTCTTTTCGTTTTGTTTGGCTTTGCTTTTTGTTTTCGCTCAATTTAATTTTTATAATTTTTCAAAACGAATGAAAAAACTTTTGAAATGCAGTGAGCCATACAAATTTTGAATATATTTACTAAGCAAATGTTTTTCATGCTTTTACAAATTAAATAAGTATCCCTTTTCCCTAGCAGTGAACCTTTTAGTGTGGGCAACAATGAAGTTTTTCAAATAATATACCTGTAATTATTGTACCATGATGCATAGCAATATTTTGTTACATGTTTCAAATTGAAGGTTTTTATTATACTACAAAAAATTGCCTTCAAAGTTCGTATTTATTTGTTTCTTTGCTTTTTTAGTTTATTAAAACAAAATATGTATGATTCTTGATTGGTATATTATTAGCTTAATTAATAAAAGCAAAATGAGTATGAACACTATTTAGAGAGGTCTCGCAAACTATGTGTTGTGTATTAGGAACCCTAATCTAAAGGCATGAAGTAAACGGTATTTTAACAACAGGGTGGATTACAACCCTGGTTCTTCCGATGGCAAAGCCATCCATAGCTTTAGATGAAGTGCAAAAAATTCGCACGGGCACACCAATCAAGGTAGGCGAACACTACCCTGCAAGAACAGTGACCATCATTTGACTGGCAAGGCTGATAGAGATTTCTGTCACTGGCTACCTACAAGTTTCTATCACATTCTAAAGGGCAGTGTGAAAAATCTGATGTAAACATTTGTGTACATATGATCTTCCGTCTTCCTCCAACTTATGGCCTTATATATTGGTCTCTTTTTAACCAACGCAAAATTTGCAAATGTGTTAGTAAGATAAATGAGAATTAGTCTGTTCCTTTGAACTTCGGACTAAAACCTGTGGAACTGTCAAACTACAATTTTACGCTCTCAAATGAGAGTAAAAGGAGAACAGATGCATAAGTGCATAGGAACGCAAAAAGCACTATTTCCTGTAAAAACGTCAGTCGGTTTGTTTACATGTCATTTGTACAACACTGATTTAGCTGAAATATCACTAAATAATTATTAAAATCTATACATATTCAAATATTTCGTTGTTTACTTCCATTTTTTAACAAATAAAAGGTTCTTAGCTTTCACCGCCTTCAGTTTTTATTTGCACATGTAAATCAGCTGATCGTTTGACACTTTTCATGAACTTACAGGAAAAAATACTCCGGACTAAATCCTGTAACTTCTGACTAGGAACAGTTGTTCAGTTACTCTCTCAAATGTGTTCCCACTTACAGGTTTTATGTCAATAGGAACGACTTCCTGTAAGTTCTGACTAAATCCTGTAAACCGGACTGCTATTGGAACAGACTAAATGTATTAGTTTCCATCACACAATTCTTGTAGGGTACCCTGCAAGAACAGTGACTATCATTTGACAAATCATTTGAGTGGCAAGAGTGATAGAGATTTCTGTCACAGGCTACCTACAAGTTTCTATCAAATTCTAAAGGGCAGTGTGAAAAATCTGATGTAAACATTTGTGTTCCGTCTTCCTCCGACTTATGGCATTATTTAGTTGTTTCTTTTTAACCAACGCAAAATTTGTAAACGTGTTAGTAAGGTAAATGAGAACCTACCCTACAAGAATTGTGTGATGGAAACTAACACATTCTCATTTACCTTACTAACACATGTACAAACTTTGCGTTGGTTAAAAAGAGACAACTAAATAATGCCATAAGTCGGAGGAAGACGGAACACAAAGGTTTACATCAGATTTTTCACACTGCCCTTTAAGGTATTGGCCCAATGCACGCTTGCTTTGCTTGCTTTGCTTACTTTAGTTTGCTTTGCTTTACTTTGAAGGAAGTGAAGTAAAGCTGCCACTAGGCCAACTTGCATACATTTTAGTAGATTTTAAAAATTGTTTGACAGTTCTCAAAGCCAAGCAAGCAAAGCAAGCGTGCATTGGGCCAATACCTTTAGAATTTGATAGAAACTTGTAGGTAGCCAGTGACAGAAATCTCTATCAGTCTTGCCACTCAAATGATTTGTAAAATGATAGTCACTGTTCTTGCAGGGTAACGAACAGTTGCAGGTGTATCCGCACAACCATCACCGTCTGCTTGCAAAATTTTACTATGCAAACGTGCATCACATCAAACTTGGCATAGAAACGGCATTGTGTAGTAAAAAGATAAATAAATGCCACACTTAAAGAACGTGCAGAAATCTGAGAAAAATGTGCCAATATTATCGAACACGAAGATCGACATGTGTTGAATGCTGCGGCAATTGTAGGGCAAGCAAAAATGCCACGGTTAATTGCCCAGTTACGTAAACATGCTAAACATGCTCCCTGCAGGGAGTTACGTTAGCTTATACTTAATTTGTTCTGTTTACGCGAACACTAGTGCTAACTATGAACTGTATAATTGGCTCGAAAAAAGCTAACTACTTGCGCGGGGCGATGGCTGCAAAAAAGTCAGACCTGGATACCTCTGAATTACAAGTCAACTAACTTGTACCTAAATACTTTTGGACATAAAATATCAATAAAAACATTTTGTTGATTTTTTTTTATTTTTATTATTTACATTTTTATTTATTTAATTTATATTCAACATTGCATATCCGTTTATTTGTT